CCCCAAAACCCCAAAACCCCAAAACCCCAAAACCCCAAAACCCCTCAATTTATTAATTTTATTGATATTCAGTTAAATGGGAAATTGAGGCAGTTACTGTTGTCCAGGAGACGAGAAAGGCGAGTTCAAAGAAGGTGACATCACCAAATCTGAAGGCCAAGGTCGCAACTCCTTATCCAAAAAGAAAAGGAAGCAGGGCAAAGGAGCCGGCAGCAACATCAACATGGAGTATAAGGGCAAAATAGTTGAGAATTACGAGAAAGTTAGCAAAAGCAGAGGCACAGGCAGGGAGGCAAAATCAGAAGTCAAGCTCAAATCTGGTGCTAAATACACTGGAGAGTGGCTTGACGATAAGAGAGATGGCTGGGGAGTCCAGATCTGGAAGGATGGATCCAGGTATGAAGGAACTTGGCTGGACGATAAAGCCCACGGTTATGGAAAACTGTACCATGCAGATGGTGATGTGTATGAGGGAGAGTGGAAAGACGATAAAGCACATGGCAAAGGAAAATATATACATGCCAATGGTGCTACTTATAAAGGAGACTGGGAGAATGACAAACAGCATGGATTTGGAGTCGAAACCTGGCCTGACAATGCTCGGTATGAAGGAAATTATAACGAGGGAAAGAAAGAAGGCAAAGGAAAACTCTTCTTTGCTGACAACTCTGTCTATGAAGGAGAGTTCAGAGATAATGAAATTAATGGAACTGGAGTCTATGAATGGACTGACGGTAAAAAATACACAGGAACATGGATCAATAATAAAATGTCCGGAAAAGGTAAGCTCCAGTGGCAAGACGGAAAGTGATATGAGGGTGAATTCAAAGATGACAGAAGGCATGGCCAAGGTAAATTCAAATGGACAGACGGTAGAATCTACGAAGGTGGATGGAAAGCAGGCAAACAGCATGGCCAGGGTATCTTCATAAGTCAGGATGGAGAGGAAAAGAAAGGTGAATGGAAAGATGGAAAAAGAATAAAATGGATCAGTGATTAAATTTTGATTATCACCCTCCGCTTAATTTTCTAACTGATCGCTTCAATTATAAACTGACTTATAGGGGTTTTGGGGTTTTGGGGTTTTGGGGTTTTGGGGTTTTGGGGTTTTGGGG